CGTCCATTCCCACCAGATGTAGACTTGCACAGCGTCTACCACACCCTCTCCTCCCCCCACCAGCACCCAGTGTCAAGACATAGTCAAGGTGACCGGAGGCGTGAGAGGGCGCAGCTAAATAACACGGTCCAACCCGCACCTTTACACTCTACTCCACACCCCCTGGTCCACACAAAAAATGACCAACAATGGGGGAAGGAAGGGGCTGGCACGGCCGAAGCCGCACCTAGGCATGCCGCCACACCCGCCTCAGATCCCACAGAGTGGGAGTGCCATAAAGGCCATATTAAGAAGGAGCCATTATTGCAGCCTGACACTTAGACCACCAGCCAGCCATTCCACACCAGCGCACACAGCACTGGACCGACTGCGAGATCCAAGTTATCCCGTCAGTTGGAAACCTTCCAAGCCACGGCTTTTAGCGCACCGTGATAGCTTCAAGCGCGTCAGATTGTTTATATAGTGGGTCCTCGACGTCATTCTCCTCTCCCATTCCCAGGCCCCAGCCACTGTACGAGCCGATCAGATGACTGGTGCAGGGAATGGCCGCGGTGGCTGACATCTCTAGTAAACTTATCTGCCCACATCACGTGCATGACCTGGCCCCCAAAAGCAAATAACTGCATTTTACACAACGGGGGTTGGGCGGCGTACACTTCACATGCGTGAGAGTGCCTTAGGACACTTTAAGAAGAGGCCGTTTCAGCCTGGCTCACACACATACACACACAACCGAGCAGACTACGCGGAATGAGTTGGAGCGTCAGTCAGCGGCCTTCCAAGCCATGGCGCTTGACGCGCCGTGATAGTCTTAGACTCGACTCACACATGCAGCAGAAGAGCCTCACGGAGACGGAGTCGAGACGCACACTTCCCACTTGCATGGGAGTTGGCGATTGGATGCTTGCGGTAGGTGATGATGTTATGTGATGCAGGTGTTGGTGGGAGAATGTGAGGACAGTTGGGGCGGATGCGTCGGGTGTAGGTTGGTGTTCCAGGCACTGATTCGCCAGTCTCCGTGCGATGGATTCGCAAGTGACCGACCAGGCTGATGCATGAGGTCAAGGTACGAGGGCAGTGTGGACAGGATAGGTCGGGGTTTCAGTTTCGGAGATGGTGGCAGTGGTGGAGCTTCTGGTGGTGGACGCGCTGGGTGACGGGGTGTGGGTTGAGCTAGGCGTGGTGGATGTGTCGAGACTGCGGTCAATTCCGCTCTCGTGAATACGCATGTGGCCGAATAGGCCCACGCGGTGAGTGAATGTGTGGGAGCAGTGTGGATAGTGGAAGTGAATGCGGCGGGTGTTTGTTGGTGCTCCAGGCACTGGCTCGTCAGTAGCTGTGCGGTGGGTTCACAAGTGACCGATCATGCCGATGCGTGAGATGAAGGTGCGATCGCAATGAGGACAGGTATGGGCCGAGTCCAAATCGCTGGTGTTGGGGATGGTGAGTTTGATGTATGTCGGTTTGTTAGGATTAAGTGGAGTGGTGGCGGATGCAGGAGCCGTCGCAGCAGATGTTGTGGCGATGGAGAACGATGGCAGGGGGCTTCAGAAGTGCGCTCAACGTTGATTGTCCGAGAGGGGGCGAGACAGATGCGAACGGCGCGACACCGTGTGGTGTAGTCCAGATGCTGCAGCTGACTCGAAGATGTCCATTGAGACCGATTATTGCCCGGAACGTCCGCTGACATATGAGATGGTCGGAGACGATTGATTATTGGTATTGCAAGATGGGACAGATAAGATTTACGAGCTTCGCGTTTGGCTTTGGCAGCGGTGATACGGTTTACTTCGTAGATTGTTGCACCAGTCTTCATTTCACTCCACCAGATCGGTAAGTTCAGGACGAGGCCATCCCAGTGGGCCGGGCCGGGAATTCTTCATTGTCCTTTTGGCGTTGTTTCAGTCCTCGCGGTCGACGAGCACTGATGGAAACATCTCCGTAGAAGTAGGCGAGCGTCGCCCATTCACACCAGATGCTCGCTGTATCGCAGTTGAAGTTGAATCAAGTAGCGTAGATGCTGAGGACTCCGACTCCTTCCAGGAATTCCGTGTCGGGGATGCTGTCTTGCCATCTCAGCTACAGTATTCTGCGAAGACGGCTGAGATGGAAGTGGTTGGTATTACTGACATGGCTTGCGTAGATAGTCCAGGTCACCACTACGTACAAGAGTGTCGCCATGACAACGACCTTACACATCCTCAGTTTGGTGTTCAGTTGAAGGCTGTGACGATTCCACACAGGCTATTGCTGCCGGTCGAAGGTTTGACTGGCTTTGGAGAACCGGTGGGCAACCTCATCGTCGATTCTGGTGCCATTGGAAAGTGTGCTGCCGAGATAAGCAAAATTATCCACGGGGTTTGAGTTGGTAGCCTGAGACAGCTATTCGAGGAGGAGTGCAGTGTTGCGTGTTGGTTGACGATTGGTGCATGACCACCGTTTTGTCTGTGTCGATTGTCAGGCGGAAATTAGCACACCGGGGGGCGAAGAGGTCCATGCTCCGTTGCATGTCCACTTTGGTCGTGGTGTCCAGCGCGCACTCGTCGGCCGTGGACCGTAGTCATAAGTAGTCGCGTTATGACTTTCATGTGCCTGTTGTTGAGAAGATGCCTGCCGACCCTGTAGGCGATGTGGATCCTGCGGCGCTCATCACAGTCGGCGTTTATCAGCATAGTATAAAACATGCGACTGAGAAGGGTGGGGTGCTAGTATGCACCCCTGCTTCGTCCCATTGCTCACTGCGAGTGTCTCGGAGCCTGCGCCATTGTCCGTGACAACTGCCATCATCCCGTCGTGAAGCTGACGTACCATGCACATGAGTCGTTTGGGAGAGCCGAATTTCTGCATGGATTTCCACATTCCTTCGCGATTCACTGTGCAAAGGCTTTAGTCAGGTTCAGGAATGTAATACAGAGGTGGTTCCGAATCTTCTGGCACTTCTCTTGTAGTTGGCGGACGACAAAGATCATGTCAGCGGTTACGCAGTGTTGCCGGAATCCACACTGACCTTCCAACAGAAGTCCATGATCTAGATGGCCGTTGAGACGGTTGAGGAGGATGCGGACGAAGATCTTCCCGACGATGTTGAGTAGTAAGATGCTTTTGTGTTTATCCCAGAGTTGCCAGTCCCCTTTGCGCTTGTAGAGGTGGACGATGGTCGCGTCTCTGAGTCCTGAGGGACCTGTCTCTGTCGCTACATCCCCTGAAATAGCGCCCTGAGTCGGCCCGTCAGTCGGCGGTTGCCGTGCCTGTAGAGTTCAGCTGGGATCGCATTGGGGCCTGATACTTTCTTGCTGGAGCGTTGTTGCACGGCGCTGATGGTTTCTGGAAGGGAGGGCGGGAGATCCAGGTCGATGTTAATTTACCTTTGCGAAGCCGGTCGTTGGCGGCGTCGGAGATTGTGGAGGGACGATTGAGGACGCTTTTGAAGTGCTCGTCTCAGCGATTT